ATACAAAATTAAAAAATTAAATTAACTTTTATATTTTGGTGTTATTTTAATCGTCTTATATTGTTATAAAAAAATATTTATTTTATTATAATTTAATAAATTACATAAATTAATCAAAATATAGAAAAAATATAAACAACTCCTTAGAGGTAAATTGAACATCTTACCAATCCTATCATATTCAATTATGTTTTACGAAAAGTTGAGCAGTTGTCATGCCATGTTATGTCCGGTCATGTATGAGTTCCAAACGCACCTTAAGTGGACAAGACACGACATGACAGTATGGGACTAACGAGAGTGAGTTAAGCGGGCAAAAACATTTTACCAAGGTTTTAATCAGACACAAGTATTTTAATAACTTACCTATCATATCTCATTTTTGATTTTTGTCCACCGAGTTTGATCAAGTCATACACCATCTAATTGATGTGCCACGTCGTGAGACAACAATTTTTTGTTCTTTCATATTCCAACATGTAAAAATACAAAACACAACTGTAAAAGGTATCATAACTCACCAGAGATGCCAGCAGTGTTGTAAACAAGGACAAAGATCATTCCGCCAAAAGCCCAAGCGACACCAAGAATACCGACGCCACCACATTGATCAGAATTTCTGGTGGCATCCGTTTGGCTCTTGTAGCCAATGACAGTTAGGACAGTTATGTAAAGGAACAAGAAGGTGGCAACGAACTCGGCAACGATGGCTCTGTAAAACGACCATTTGGTCAGCTCCTCGACCTCGATGATCCTTGCTGCAAGTGGTTGTTCGTAATCTTTGTCTCCGTCGTTCCTTGGATCATTGACACCCTCTTCTATGTCATTTTCAGAATCCATTAATTTTGGGATGAATTTTGTTTTTGAATTTTTTTGAAATAAATTGAAAAGAAAAGCGTTGAATTTGTTGCAGATTTCAACGCAGAAAAAGAAAAAGAAAATGCTAGCGTTGACTAAAATGGGAATTGGTTTTCATAAATGGTCAAAGTATATAAGAATGAGAGAATTGGGTGTGTGCTTGTTGTTCATGGAACAGATGAATTAATGGAGAAATTATTGGATCTAAAGAGACTAATTCCTACATATATAACAATCACATTTTGACATGTGGTTCCACTTCCATAAGTTTTGCCCATTTTCTTTAACTTATATATCTTAATTTAGATGATTCATGTTTGGTGTTAAAACAGTTGCTAAATATCTAGGCCTTCTAACATGCTCTGAATCAGTGGCACTAAAAACACAGTGATCCCTTTGACCCCTGATATTCATTAGTTCCAGGATCAAATTAGCTTATATGAGCATGCTCTCCGCACCGCCTAACTTGTATTATAGCTCAGCCTTAATCCATTCAGTGTCGTGCAAATCCCAAATACACCAAATGACTGATGACACTAAAATCACCAACACAGATAACCTACAAGTTCAACCGGCCACCAGGGATCCATTCTTCACTATAGCTAGAAGCCTACAAACCAACAAAACCCTTGTCATGGAGTTGTCCTTGTAAGCTCGCGTGTGGCCTTAGTTCTTGGACTAAGCCGGCCAAACTACAAGAATACTGAGTAAAGATGAGCAAACAAGAATGCTAAGGAGATTGAGAGAACTCTATGCTTCTATTAGAAAATGTGGAGTGTGTTTTACAAATGAGACTGGGCACTTAGCCCACATGCTGGGATTCCTAAAGAGAGCACCTTTCCTATTGATTCTTAGGATCACTTGTGCTACTCTCTGTCTCATGTGTTAAACACTGCTATATTATGCATTTAATGATAGTAAAATGCTGTTAATATACAACTATTTGATGCACAGATCAAAATGGTGAAACATCAAGAACACAGCACAAGCTTCTGCTACATATGCTAGGATTTCTACCAAAGAATACTGAAGCAAATTGACATCTGATATGCCAACAATGGTTTCATCAAACTGCTGCCCATGAGGGTGAAATGCAAGTGTATTGACTGAAGAACATTATATTGTTTGCATGATGCTAAAGCACTTGCAATTCAATTGAAATTTTTCACAAGTATCAAAAGGAGCTATCTCAATTTCAAACCTTCAATCCAATTATGCTAAACAGCTATGTCGAAAAAAGTTGCTTCCAAAATTCCTAAATTAAAAGCACATTGTAACAAGAGAGAATACCAGTACAATCAAAACCCTAAAGTGATCAATCGAGAGGGATTTCAACGTCACCATCAGCAATCTCCTGTTGTAAATCCTTTGGATCCTTCCCATCGACAGTACACCCAACCGAAACGCACGTACCGAGGATCTCTTTCACTGTTCCAGTCAATTCTTTCGCCATGGACCTCGGTCTCATCACTTTTGCAATCTCAATGACATCGTCTAGAGATATGTTGCCCGAATGCTTGATGTTCTTCACCTTCTTACGATCGCGTTCCGGTTCCTTCAGGGCTTTGATGACTAGAGCGGCGGCGGAGGGGACGACGGAGACTTTAGCCTGACGATTTTGAACAGTGAGCTTGACGGTAACACGCAAACCCTTCCAATCCTTGGCGGTTTCTTTGGCTATGTCTTCACCTATTTTCTTGGGGGAGAGACCGAGTGGTCCGATTTTGGGGGCGAGTGACGAAGCAGCACCGACCTCTCCTCCGGTGACACGGACGTAGACATCTACAACTTGGGAAGGGTCGAACTTCGGCGGCATTTTCCGGGATTTAGAGGCGGTGAGGCGCGGCGGCGACGGCGTTTAAGTTATGATGAATGTCGTTTCATATCGCTATTCGCTAGGGATAAATGTCATTAGAGATTTCATAGCGTAGATTGGGCCTCAAATATTAAAATGGCCCATTAGGCCTTAAACAAATATGATGAAAAAATTATTTCTGCTATATTCCATCTTAAATCAATTGACGTTCATCCGTCAAAATTCAATCCAATAATAATCAGATGTTGAATCTTGTCATCTGATCCGATTCAATTAATGTTAAACAACTTATTCATTTTATTCAGTAAATGATTGAATCGAATCGGTTATATTTATTATTATCGATTATCCATTGAATTACCGAAATTATATATATTTCATTGTTTGGCACATTTATTCCAAAAATTTACAAAACCATTGCCTTACATTATATAAAATATAATGTTTGAGATAATTTTTTTTATTAAAGATTGCATTATGCCTAGGAGTTTGCAAAAAGTCGTTTGATCCAATTAGAATCGATCGAGAATAATCAAATATTCAATTGTAGTTGGATCGGATTCAAAATTTTAGCATCTAATTTCGATTTGTCAGTTCTTAGATGGCAGTTCAGAATCCAATAAAAATGAACATATTCAATCCAATTATCGTCCAATGATCATCTATCTACTATCCAATTAATAACAGTATATAATTATTTTAATTGATATTTATACGTTGTGGTTTTTAATAAATTACAAAATATATGAATAATTAATTGAAAATCATATCAAAATATTGGATGGATTCAATCTGATCCGATGGATAAACACTACTCCAATAGTAATATCCAATAGATGGAATCTATCTCATCCAATCATCCTGGGATTGGATCAGATCGCATTACAAAATCCAATCCATTGCATGATTGGATTTGATTGGATCCATCTAGAACTATTGGATTTCAAGTGATGAATACCAGTAGTTAGACAATTTATTTTACATGGGTCATCATGTATTTACTTAATCTTTGAATATCATCAATATCTCAAAATATACAAAACACACACACACACACACACACACACACACATATAGGTGGAGGTTCAAACGAAAACACCTCCATTTTACGAGAACATGAGAACATCCTTATCACATGTGATAATACGCGTGAGGGGACCTGGTGGTATGCGGAAGATGTGTTCTACGACTTGGGTCGTGCCAAAGGTTGTCTGTGTCTATGATTTAGTATCACATGTGATGGTATTGATGGATTGTAGTATTATATCAACAACACTCTTATCATATGTGATAATACACGTGAGGGGGCTTAGTGGTGTAAGGGCGACTTAGCCCACAACCAAGATCCCGCCGAAAATCACCCGCGTCTCTAATTTAGTATCACATGTGTATCATATGTGATGGAATAATAGTATCACATGTGATTGTCTATTGTAAAAGGGTGTTTCCACGTTCTCATAAAATGAAATTATTCTCGTTTGAACTATTCTTTATATATATCTATACTATATTATAAAGCATTTGGCTAAAACTCTTAAAAACTCTTAAAAACTCTTAAACCCATTCATCCCTAAACAATTTCATCTCTATCTGATTTCATCCCATAACTGAATTCGTGTAACTAATTGCATATAAACACAATCAAATACAGGATAAACATTTTATTTTAAATATAAAAAATCTAAAATATAATTAGGATAATCATTGAGTTCTAACAAAATACTTAATTATTATCTTTATAAAATGATATATTATTAAACCAAAAATAAATTATTTCATTATTAAACTTAAATTAAATTA